AAATGATCAGTCAGTGCTATGATGGAGCTTCTGTCATGAGTGGGGTCAGGGGTGGGGTTCAGGCCTTACTGCACAATTCAATTCAATTCAAAGATACTTTATTAATCCCAGAGGGAAATTAGAGTTTCAGTACACACAATTCAGAGACCAGACATACATAGGCAAGACACATGACAAGAATTGGTGACTATGGTCATTCGCAACCCTGAATCGCGCTACCTTAATAGAGATCAAAGGGTCACATGAGGATTAGTCGTTGAGGTTTGGAGTGTGCAGTGATTCCTGGAACGATTCTTCTGCCTTCACTGCCCGAAGTCCCGCCCAGGCTGGGATAGGAGACAGAGTTGACATAGCGAGGGCATTCCACATTTCTTCTGAGGGGGGAGTATTCGTTGGAGCCTTAGAGGCTCAAGGGCATCAGATTCAGATTAGAATTTGTTTTGGGGCTAGACAGAGATAATTTCCTCTCTGTCTTTGAGTTCCTTGGTCCTCAACCTCTCAAAATCCCAATAATGGCGTACATTAATCTATCCCAATCCGTGCTGATTTGTCCACTTTCTCCTTGATGGCATCCATCTTTTGTGCCAAAGCATGAATCTCGGCCAAAGTTCCAAGCTTACAATTCATCTTGACAATTAAATGAGTCGTCTAAGGAGCTTTGAAAGAAAAGCGTCTGGACTTCTTTGAGTTGCTTGAAGACGTTTCACCTCTCATCCGAGAGGCTTCTTCAGTTCTAAGGTCAAATGGTGGAGAGTCCCAGATTCAAACCCAGTGAGAGTTTCCCCCGAAGAGGGAACAAAAGACCCCCTGATGATCTTCTACATAAACACATGAGCCAAGGTGTGAGGGTGGGTGTGGGTCCTATTCAGCAAGAGTTTCGGGTGAGCTCATTGTGAAGCCTGGCCCCACCCTATCATGTGAATTCCTGAGGTCAGATGGCCCAGGATATGCGTGGGTGTTGAGGCATCTGGGAAGGGATCTCAAAACTGGATTATAGATGGCAGACCGTTGGTGTCGTAAACCACCGACTCTGTTCAAAGTTGGTTGCTCACAGTGGACATAAATGGCTTCCTTTACTTCTCTTTCAAACCATCTGTCCTCTCTGTCCAAAATGTGAACGTTGGCGTCCTCGAAAGAGTGACCTTTGTCCTTTAGATGCAAATGAACTGCTTGTGCCATGGCACAGCATAGAAGAGCCACCTCCACGGGACAGGAGTCAGTAGTTCATTTGCATCTAAAGGATAAAGGTCACTCTTTCGAGGACGCCACCGTTCACATTTTGGACAGTGAGGACAGATGGTTTGAAAGAGGAGTAAAGGAAGCCATTTATGTCCACTGTGAGCAACCATCTTTGAACAGAGGCAGTGGTTTACGACACCAACTGTCTGCCATCTATAATCCAGTTTTGAGATCCCTTCCCAGATGCCTCAACGCCCACGCATATCCTGGGCCATCTGACCTCAGGAATTCACATGATAGGGTGGGGCCAGGCTTCACAATGAGCTCACCCGAAACTGACTGAATAGGACCCACACCCACCCTCACACCTTGGCTCATGTGTTTATGTAGAAGATCATCAGGGGGTCTTTTGTTCCCTCTTCGGGGGAAACTCCCACTGGGTTTGAATCTGGGACTCTCCACAATTTGACCTTAGAACTGAAGAAGCCTCTCGGATGAGAGGTGAAACGTCTTCAAGTAACTCAAAGAAGTCCAGACGCTTTTCTTTCAAAGCTCCTTAGACTACAATGGCCTGGATGACTGAGAACCTTCACAGACAGTTAAATGAGTCTGTGAATTCACAGCGTGGTGCAAACCATCTCTGAGCTCCGGGAGCAAGCCAGTATTCCTCGACAGCTCGTTCATTTTCCGGTAAGCCAGGAAGCTTCCTAGGCCAATGAGCAGGAAACCCTACAAAGTCCCATTAGTTGTCACACACACAGGTGTGTGTGCGAAATTTGTTCTTCGCATTTGACCCATCCCCTGGGAGAGCGGTGAGCTGCAGACACTGCCGCGCTCAGGAACTATTTGGTGGTTTAACCCCCCAATCCAACCCCTTAATGCTGAGTATCAAGCAGGGTCCCATTTTTTTCAAAGTCTTTGATATGACCCGACCAGGAATCGAACACCTGATCTCCCAGTCTCAGGGTGGACACTCTACCACTAGTCCACTGAGAAAGGTCACCAACACCACGAATATCCACACGTCTACAGAATCCTCTACAGACAGCTGAGATAAACAGATCAAGTTCCACTCTTTCCAGGAGTCCATGATGTGTCCAACTGGGTCTGTCCCAGAGGGGCATCCGGGAGCCCCTTCTCCCGTTCACATCGTTGAAAAATTTTTATCAATCACGTTGAGTGACCAACTGACCAGGTCTATTTTAGTAATTTCAGTTTCCAGAAAAAATGCAGAAGCAGCCGTGCACCAGCACAGAGACAGACAAAGAGCCTTGAGGATAAGATAGGAGGAGTGGAGGAAAAAAGTGTCTGCACTCTCCAAGAGCCGGAAGAAGGTAGGGAAGGATATTCCCTACATCCACTGCTACAACTACCAGCTGCACTTGGCAGTGGTCTATGCAATGCAAGTAGAGCCATGTGCAAAAACCTTTTTTGATCTATCAGGATCTCTACTCTCATTTTTCCACCGTCATTATGTTTCACAGAACTATGATGTTCCCTCCCTGAAACGACTGTTGGAGATCAGGTGGACAAGCCACCATGATGTGACCAAGTGCCTTGTGGAGAATCAGGATGCTATTATGAATATCCTGTCAGAGGTTACAGAGGACAGAGCTGCTGCTGTTGATATCTGTACAGAGGCATCAGGACTGTTGATGTTAAGGAGGCACAATTTCTTTGAAATAGGAAAATTCCTCCTAAAAGTTCTGGGTTCCTTGAAGTCTGCAAATTCTACGCTGCTGTCTCACTTTGTTAACCTGTGCTGTGCTTCAGAAGTAGTCAGTGCATCTCTGCAGGCTTTGAAGCAGATGAGAGATGAGGAAAGTGAGACATTAACCAGCACGCCTGCACCAGCTGCTAAAAGACAAAGACAAACAAGCTCACTGCTAACAGGTAGTGTTGTAATGTCCACTGTGGGCCACACAGAAGACTCCAAAACTCCTAGCCAGGCTCTGAAGAGGGTTCTTCTCAACATTTTGGACATAGTCGTTGTAGAGATGGAGACAAGATTCTCCAAAAGCAATCTTGATCTCATGAAAGCAGTTAACTGCCTTCAACCTCAGTCTCCCTCTTTTCTGGATCCTGACATGTGAAGTCCTCTGCAGAAAATGACAGGAAGTGACAAACTTTCCAATGAAATTCTTGTTGCAAAAAATAATGTTGGAGAAATCATTCAAAATGACTGATGATGATAGCAGTGTAGAGTTTGTAGACCTCTCCACCATTTGCAAATATCTACATGGGTATAAGAATGCCTTTCCTCAGCTCCATCGCATGTATGTGACCTCCCTTGTGATTGGAATATCAGTAGCATCATGCGAGAGCTCTTTCTCCACTTTGTCTCTTGTTCTTACCCCGTTCCGCCGTACTACACTACATGAGAGAAAAAGAAATGTAGTCATTCAGGCTCACGAGAAGGCCATAACAACAGAAAAGCAGACGGCTGATGCTGTAATGACTGAAAAAAGCCATAAAGAAATAAAAACAACAAAAGTTCTAAAAAAAATACATTAATAATATATAAGTAAAATAAAAAAATAAAATAAAAAATGGAAGGATGGACAGATAAGATAGATAAAATAGATTAAAGACATAAAAAAGATAAAAACTTGAAAAATTCTAAGATGGATGGATGGATGGATGGATGATAGGTGTGTGCGTGCGTGTGTGTGTGTGTGTGTGTGTGTGTGTGTGTGTGTGTGTGTGTGTGTGTGTGTGTGTGTGTGTGTGTGTGTGTGTGTGTGTGTGTGTGTGTGTGTGTGTGTGTGTGTGTGTGTGTGTTACTGAAGCAGTAGGGGGTTGAGTAGATTAATGCAGCCCCAATAGGGAACAAGCCGGTGTCCCATTTGTGCCGGTCCCAAGCCCGGGTAAATGCAGAGGGTAGTGTAAGGAATGGATCAAAGGAAAAGATAGATATATGGATAGAAGAACTGTAATGATGATAGCATAGTTTTCTATGCATTTTAGGGATTTGGGGGTATGTGACACCCGAAAAATTATTTCCCAGACCTGCCCCCCCCCCCCCGATATTCTACCTGCACCCCTTTGTAGGGCTGGCTAAATCCAGCCCTGTCAAGAGCGTCCCTTCGATGGCATCAAGTGATGATTCGTTAACAGTAATCGGCTCAGGAGAACCCAAGGTCGCTGCCGTCAGTGGCTTCTCTACTTTGTGTTTAGTTTGAAGGTTTTATTACAGAGCCGTTACATCTTCTCACAGGTCTCTGCTTTCCTTTGAAGATGAGGACTTGTCAGCTGTTTTGAGTGTCACAAACATTTCAGGTGCCTTCAGGTAGTATGAGAACTGGTTGTTAGCAGAAGCCAAATCCTCTCCTGGAAGCAGTTTATTGTGACCAGATAGCAGACAGCTTGGTGGCACGTATCCTCTCAATATATTCAGATTTATTTATTTTGACAGAAAACTTAGAACTGAACTTCTTTTTATTTTAACAATCATGCACACTATGAATGTCTTTTTGACATAATCGGACTGAGTAGATAGGAGAATTGATGAATTTACATGAATGTCAAAAAGGTTTGAGTGGTAAACAATCTTTTTATTAAGTATTTTTCCAATCAGCACCAAAAGCACCTTTGAAGTCTGACCTGTTGCATTTTCTAACTAAAAAGAAATTTGGAGTTTTTTTATGTTCCCTTGTCGTTTGAGCGCTGATTGGATCTTTTACTTACAAACTCAAACGCTCGGCTTCTCTTTTGGTGCCACTGTGTGTTTCCTTGTAAAACTCATGGCTTTACTAACTAATCCCACTAAAACTTGTGTTTTTTGTTGCTGTTTTCCTTTTTCCTTTGCTGAGCTGCTGCAGTCTCCTACCAAGTGGTACATGAAGCTTGTACCTGTAAGTCTGCTGATCTGGGCCTCACCTTTCTATCCCTGTGTTCATTATGATGTCCCTCCCTCTTTATTTCATCTAAATGTTGTCATCCTGTGACTTATCATCGTCATAAAAGTAGCTTTATGACCCTGCAGTGAATCCATTTGTATCCATGTACAGAAAAAAATGTCATAAATCTTTTGACTTACTTTCTTTTTTATTTGATTATTCTTAATCCCTTTTAGAGATGATTTTCCATCAGTCCTCTTATATTTCCTAAGTTAAGTACTTTGAAATATTCTAAGGCCTTTATAATTAAAGTCAGGTCGACCTTCCTCTCCAGCTGAAACTATTTACTCCTTAAGCTTTAAGACTCATGAGAAAATCTCAGCTGTCTGAGTGTTGAGGACTCCTTTAAGGCTCTAACGGCCTGTAAAGGCTTCTCTTTAAGTCATGTTGATGCCATTAATATAAATAATATCTGTTTAAGTCTGAGAGTGGCATTAAATGGAGCTAGGTGGTGTTGTAGAAAGCCCTTGGTTTATGTTTTTGTCTGATGCCACACACAGGCACGCTATCGGAAGGAGCAGGCCTCCACCCAGCCGACTCCCTGGATCCCCTCAGTGGACAACCTGCTGAAAGACAGCACCGGAGGGTCGGCGCTGGGCGCCCTGCTGCACTTCTACTGCCCTCAGCTGCTGTCTCTAGAGGGTAAGGACACAAAACACCAGGAGACAGCGTTAATACAGGAGGGCCTTGTTGTTCTGTAGAGTGTTGGGTGATTGTTCAGTCTATAGATCAAAGGTCAGTCACATGATCACATCACGTTCCTTAAAGTTAACCAAACTCAATCAGCACATGCTAAACCTTAACCTCCATCAGAGACCTTTGTTTACTCCTGAATTCATCGCCCTGATGAAGACCTTTAGATTGTGTTAGAACATCAGTAGTTCCTGAAACAATCCGCACGATCAAAGCTCCGAGCTGAGCGTGAAAACAAGTTTACCCTGACCCCGGTGGCCTTCCCTGCCCTCCCAGATGTTTGTCTTAAGGAGAACATGACTCTGGGTGAGCGACTCTACAACCTGCAGCTCATACAGGACTTCTGTAAGGACAACCTGAACAGCTGCTGCCACTTCAGCCTGGAGGACATGCTCTACGCCTCCTCCACCATCAAGGTACAACTCAGACATCTGCACTCAGCACCTGATTTTTGACAGTTTTAAAACTGTGATGATCAAACTTACTGTAATGGTTTGGAGTAAATCCCCGTATGAGGGATTCAGCCAGAAAGCTGAATGGAAGTGAGCAGAACTTTGGGCACCTGTAGTGAGTCATGCTCCGGAAAACCTCTCAGTGCAATCTGTCATCGCTAACCACGAGCTAGGAGAGCTGTTCTGTGTGTGTGTGTGTGTTTTCCATTACCAATATGCTTTCAGTTATCTCACTACTACATTTTCTCCTCCCGCTGGTGTGTGATGGCTTTTCCACCTTCTGCCTGACACGGCTTTGTCTCCCTTTCTCATTCATTACTTGTCAAACAGCCTGTAGCTTTTTCTGAGCTTGTTTGATTTATTTTTGTGAATTTATTGGTTTATCAGAGTGCATTTGTCAATGGAAACCGCTTGAGTTTTATTTCTTTCAAACAAGAATAATAAACTGAGTTAAAATAAAGCTGATAAAACAAGCAAAAAATTCCATAAAAATAAATAGAAACATCCCAAACAGTTTTCAGTGAGTAAATTCAATTATTACACACAATAGTTACGTATTCAGAGAGCATCATCACCCTCCCTTAACCCATCCCCCACTCTACTGCACACTAAATGTTCGTTTCCCTCTTTCATTCATTATTATTAATATTCATTATGATGCCTCACTGCCACCTAGGATTGACTGAATAGTGTTTGTTGTTAGCCTCAAGGGCAACCTGCTGGCTTGATTATCACCTGTAAGCCGCTTTGGACAACGTCAGCTAAATACATAAACATATTCAGTTCAAAAAAGAGAGGGATGAAGCGTTGCTCATGTTTTCTACCCCTAAACTAAATAAATTCACCAGCAGTATCTGTAAAACAAAGCAGAATAAAGACTGACATCAGAGGTGAGTAACAGTTACAAATCAATTTGCATTTATACAGTCAGCTCACGTCTCCTACTTTTCTGTCTGCAGCTATACAAATGCACATGAAGCCACTAACACTTGTAAAAAGAGGTATTATTTTAATAAAATAGGCTGAATTATCAAAAATGGAAGATAATCTTAAACTATCCATCCATCCGTGGTCATCAGCTTATCCGGGGTTGGGTCGCGGGGGCAGCAGCCTAAGCAGAGAGGCTCTCCAGCCACTTGGGCCAGCTCCTCTGGGGGAATCCTAAGGTGTTCCCTGGCCAGCTGAGAGTCATAGTCCCTCCAGCGTGTCCTGGGTCTCCCTTTAGGCCTCCTCCCAGTCGGACGTGTCCGGAAAACCTCATCAGGGAGGCGTCCAGGAGGCATCCTAACTAAATTCCCGAGCCACCTCAATCTTAAAGGTTTTAATTTTTTTGTCTTTGCTAGTTGCTGTGTGTACATAATGTATTTTTGTATTCAAGCTGCATTTATGACAAACAACTTCCACATAATCAGGAACAAATCCTAACTCCCTTCATTTGATGCGACCGCTTGTTGGTCCCATCAGCATCTGGTGTTTTTCCCTGAGAGCTGCGTGAGCTGATGTGTCTGGATGGATGGGTCTGTCTCTGCCTGGCCGTCGCTGCAACAGCGCCACTGTTCTGAGCACAGACAGACTTCTGGTCACTGAAAGGACAAACCTCTAAACTAACTAGCCTGTAGTGTCAGTCACTTGGTCCGTTTGAGGCCAGACTCACAGGACAGACAATGGCTCAAGGGTTAATATTTTTTATCATAATTTACAGAAAAATAAAGCAGATTGAGTTCTGTGATGCTGCCAGCAGCACTGAGCTGCTGACTCTGGAGTCCCAGCAGCAGAGTTACCGCCTGAGAAAAGCTGTTAAAGAGAGAGATTCAGTAACCTTGACCCACTTTCCAGCAGCGGTGTGCTGTGGCCCGTCGCTCTAATGGGGACCTTATTATAGAGCCTGAGACATTAGAGGGGAGGCGATGTGAGAGAGGCGTTGGTGTGGGAGAAAACAATTAGAGAGAAGATGGAGGAAACCAGGGAGGGTCAGCGTCCAGTCAGTGAAACATCACCTCTAAACGCTCACTTAGCTGGAAGCACTCCTGCTCTGAATCTTCTGTCAGGGTGGATTATTGATGATTGGTTCGGAGGATTTGTTTCTGTCGACCGCTTGACCCAAGTTAACCTTCATGATAAATGACCTGTACTTGTATATTTTGATCAACCTAAACAAAGGTATCTACTTGTGTTTAGGTTGTTTTTGAAAAACAGAGCTTTATGAGAGTATTTGGCCATAAATGTGATCTAAACTAAAACTATGCTATGTGTGAGCCAAGAATGGAAAAACGTGTGATGTGTTCTGTTTGTTTACAGTTCTGTTGTTTAATAAAGATGTGATCATGCCATCAGACACAATGCACAACCCAACCCCCTGAAACCATTTATTACAGCCCATTAAGGACCATTCTTTCCTGATGGGCGTGGGCAAGTAAATCACACAACCCCCATCCCATTCAGTGACTCTACTTTTTATTACTTCCGAGCAAATCTAGATTAGCATCTGTGGCTCCAAGAATAGAAAACCTACAAGAACTGCCATCTTCCTCGTGTGTTTTCTATAGATGCTAGAGGTTAGTAACAGGTTTGCACATTAAGGATTGCTGTTAGTTTTATATATTTTATTTAGAGGTTAATAATTGCATTGATTATCGTGTGTCTTAACAGAAATAGAAAAGGTTTTTTAATAGAAAGATATGCATTTTTTGGAAATTTCCTTTAATTTTCCATCATCGTGTTTCCTAACAGGAAGCTTCAGTGTTGTGTTCGTGTCTAGTTGTGTTCTGAAATGTGCCCTCAGGTGGCATAAAATCAGAGCGTGACTTTTCCAGATCTGTGTGATTCTGTCTGCTGGACCTGGATCTTTTACCAACCGCCCAGCCGTGGCTGGGATTAAAAGCCCCTGAACGCTCGGTGTCTGACCTTTCCTCATTTGGAGAGTACACCTAAATGAGCTGCTATTGGCGTTTTTATGGCGTCAAGCATTACTCACCACCAATGCCTTTGGATGTTTCATCACAGTCGTGTGTGTTTGTGTATGTGTGTGCGTGGGGGGGCAGGCAGGTCAATCCCTGCAGAGTGGATTAACCCCCGCCCCCACCCCCTCCCACCAGATCCACCTCGACTCTGGGCTGTCTTCTCGTAATCACCACTCAGGTTCTTGTCTTAATCTCAGGAGTCACACTCTCCGGTTTGGTGGGCCCAGAAGGACCAGATCTAGTCACGGGGGCCGTTGTCTGAGTGTGCTTTAGCGATCACACCTACAACTGGTGTGTGACTAGTAGAGGAACAGATGGTTGGACTGTCACAGGTCTGGGCAGTTTGGATTTTTTTGGAGGGTTTTAGTCATCATAACCCTGAAGGATTGCTGAACACATCTTAAGGTAACCAGTGTTGTTTGACCTTTGTTTTGTTTTTCTGGTGCTGAAGAGTCTATAGATCATGCACATGAATCTGATGGATGGTCTGCCTTGGTTTTGTGTTAGTCAAAATATTCTTTATTGTTTTGCTCCACTAAACAATCTGTTAAAATTGCAGAAAAACACTAAAAGTGAAACTGGTGAAACGCTGCAGTCGCAGTAGACCAGTGTCAGTGGTGTTAATTGCTTCTGTGCCTCCTGGTGGGCTTTTGGACTGCAGTTTAAGTGCTTATGTGGTGCACATATGATTGCGTGTGTGTGTGCGCACATGCAATTTTTTGCTTGGCGGAGCAAAATGTTGCTGATGAGGTGAATTGAGTGTCTTCAGGGCTGAGCCGTGCACCGCTGCCTTTGTCTGGGGACCACAGGCGAAGGACGGGTAGAGGGTGTTTCTTTTGCATCTTTGTGTGTGTGTGTGTGTGTGTGTGTGTGTGTGTGTGTGTGTGTGTGTGTGTGTGTGTGTGTGTGTGTGTGTGTAAGAGAGATAATGTGTTCACATTTGCTCAATTCACAACATTCATTAAAGGTTGCTTGTTCTGTTAAACTAGAAATCCGTTTCATTCGGTTTAGTAAAAACAGTTAAAATCTGTTTTATTGCTTTTTTCTTAGATTGATTTTTAAATATATTGAGACAGAAAAAATCGCAATAACTGTATTTTTTAATTTTCTGTGTAATAAAACCCATCATCTTTGCCATATTTCCATACTCATTCAAACGTATGCTACATTTTTCGTTTGTGACGATGAAATAAAAAGGCTGTGAGGAAAGGGATAATGTAAGGAAGCCCTGTAGGGGATCTGTGTCTTCCAGCGGCTCAGCCCTCCCGTTGTATGTTGGCCTGATTCAGACAGGAACCTAACTTGGCACTGATGTTAAACAAACATTAGGTGGTGCGTTGTGACGCAGGGTTGTGATTGAACTAATAAAATCATTTGACGCTTTCTCGGGTTCTCGTTGTAGGTGAAAGGTTATTAGAGCATCATTAAAAAGATGTTACTTAGCTAGTTCCTCATCATAAACAAACTCACCTGTAATCTGAACCCTCGATCTTCTGATGACTTAATGAAAACGGGGAAAAGCTCACATTTGAATTCCAAGTGGAAATGACAAGCTGGGATAAACAGTGACGCCTGGTGGAGAAATGGTTGCAGTGCACCTGCCTGGACTGGTTCAGTCATCCATCTCAAATGGTTAAGCTGAGTGATTTGTTCTCATATTTGAATCTTAGTGTTGTTTTCTTTCCCAGAGTAACTTGTTGGTGTTCATGGCAGAGCTGTTCTGGTGGTTTGAGGTGGTTAAGCCGTCTTTTGTTAAACCAAGAATGATGGACAATGAAGGCACAGGCAAGTATTTAATTCTCACCTGGGTATGTTGATATAGTATTCAAAATAAAACCTAAACAAATAATATTGTGTTTGATTATTTGTGCCTCATGTGTCTTTTCAGAGCCTTCATCCTTGTTGAAGAATATGCCAGCCGTCCATATCTCCAAGGCAACCAAGAGAAGTTTCATGGAAAGACCTCCAAGTCCTGAAAGGCCCAAGTTTGTTGTTGTTTTTCTAGCAGCTTGTAAAAAATACAGTAGCTTGTGAGCAAATTTGAATGCATTCACCTTTTTCTGTCTTATTTTTATAGTTTACCTCTTCGGCCACAGCCTCGAATTTCAGGTAACTGTTTTGTTCTTAATAATTCACATTTTACATGAAAATACAAATATAGGATGAGCCGTGTAACAATATCTATATTTATATGTTGTTTTACTTATTTGTGTCTTTCAGGAGAGATCAAAAGGTCAACCTCGATGTCCTTTGTGGATGGCAACCTTGGCACATGGCCCAAGGAGAAAAGGTTGGCAACTCTTACATAAAGTATGAGAGAGATTTGATATTTAGGGATTTACGTGAACTAAATGTAACATTGCCAGACTGCTTTCTTTTCTACAAAAATAAGTCCAGATTTAATTATAGTTTTGTTTTTCTGTAAGGTCTGGACCTTATGGGGTGTCGTTTGACATCCCCTTTGACAAAGACAACTCTGATCCCGCCCCGCTCTCCTCCACTCGTGGCATGGTCAGATCCATCAGCACCGATGATGGTTCTGGTTTCAAAGTCCACCACATGTCCCGTGGAATGAAACGCAACTTGTCTTTCCAGCCGGTGAATGGTCAGAGTATTGGGATCGAGGAAGAAGGCTGTCCAGACAGCCTTGCGGGCATGGAGCCCAGCAGGCGACAGTTCACCAACAGACATGGAAGTAACACAGGAACGGCTCCTTCCTTGGAGGAAGCTCTCCACATCGTCAACAGGCCACCTGTAGAGGGCATCAACAATGGGTTTTTTTTGCACGGTCAGGCCCATGGAGCTGGTGTTGGCTGCTTGGACCCGGTGTCAGAGCTGGACTCTAAAGAAACTTTGAGCACCACGGACACAGCAGAGGTTGACACTGGCATCCACATTCGAACAGAAGACATGCTGGATGAAGACTCCTCTCTGAAGGACTGCTCTGTGAACATGGACCTCGATATGGACACACCAAGTCCCGGTACGAGCAGTCAGATCAAATCCCCCTCCGCAGCCAAAATGACCAGCTTTGCTGAACAGAAAATGAGGAAGCTCAGTCCATCAGCGGCAGATTCAGGCAGAGGCAGCAGCAACTCCATGAAGACAACTCCAGAAGGTTCTGAGTTTGGCCTTCCGCTATCTGTGTCCTGGGCACCCACCCCTGAGCACAGCCCCACTCATCAACAAACCATGCCCACTGTAACCTTTCAGGCTTCAGCCAAACCTATCCAGCTCCCACCCAACGACCCAGCCCAAGTTATGGCCACAGAGATGGTCCAGCTGAGGATGAGGCTCGAAGAGAAACGGAAAGCCATTGAAGCACAGAAGAAGAAAGTTGAGGCCGCTTTTACGAGGCATCGGCAAAAGATGGGCCACTCAGCCTTTCTAAATATGGTGAAGAGGAAAGGTGACGGGGCTTCTAGTGGGGAGGAGGGTGTAAAAGTGGATGGAGAAGGAAAGTCAGGAACCACAAGTCCAGTGTTTAAATTTGGAAGGAGCAAGACAGACACACCTGATGGGGCGGAGCAAAGAAGCACACCCTCTTGTTGGCAGAAGACACCAGGTGCAGGTGAGGAAGGCGGAAAAAGCCACGCTCAGCTGACTGAACTGGATCTTGCAGAATATACGCGTTCTATTGACAAGCTCAACCATTCCTTAGCTTTCCTCCAGGCTGAGATGCAGCGTCTATCTCAGCAGCAGGAGGTGATCATGGCCATGAGGGAGCACCAACACCAGCAGGCTTGGGTCATACCTCCTCCCCACACAAACCCTTCCCCACAAAAGCACACTCGAGCTGTCATCCGATCTTCAGGACCCTCCTCTCCTGCCGACTCGCCTCATTCCACCCGTCGCTCTCCAACCAGCATCAAACGAAAATCTGCCTCCTTCCACTCCCGAAATCCTCGCACCGCCCGACCCAACGAGCTCAAGTTGGCTCCATACAGTCGAGTCCTGACCGCCCCGCAGTCCGTGGACAGCATCCCGAGACTTCGGCGGTTTTCTCCTTGTCAGCCTCTGGCAAGTTCTTTCCTTTACATGGGGGAGAAGCCAGCAGCTGCTTCTCCAGAGGCGGTAGTCCTAGATGGGGACCATGACAAGGACGCAGAATCGCTCCTGTTCCCAGACAAAGAGCTGGCAACTATGTGTGGACCCAACTCACTCCCCAGCACACCCAACCGGAACGCCAAAAGAAAACAATCTGAAATGGATGCAAATGGCCAAGAAACTGAGACGCAGTCAAAGCCTTCTGATATGGAAACACAAAAGCAGCAGGACACAGTTCAGAAACTATTTGGAGAACTAAAACCTACCATAGAGTCATCATTCCCAGAGGTCTTGGCTCATCCTGTGGTGGAAACTTTCACAGTGACACCTACAGAGATCCCTTTTAAGCCAGAACCTTCTGTCAAAGGCAGCCTGATTGAGGTTCCCCTGTCAGTGGTGAAGCCGCTGGAGGATTTAATAATCGATGATGTGTTGGAGATGGACCAGGACAACACAGAGAGTTTGGATGATGAACAGAAAATGTGCCGCGGTTTCTTCTTCAGGGTAATTCCTTCAGCATTGATTAGTAGAACCTGAGTGAGCCATCCCAACAGATTGTTCACTAATTCTATATGAACGAAGCAAAGAGATTCAAGAGATCTGTTCCATTACAAGAGTTCCTGGAAATTCTGGCAAGGGGAAGGAGATAGGGAAAGTAGGATGGCTCTGTCCTCTCAGCTGTCTCCTTACAAAACTGGCCCGTTCAGGGCCCTCATGTGTTAAATGTTCATAAAATAATTCCTAAATTATTTCCTGTTAACGAAATTTAGAATGTTTGTGCGAACGATCAAAAACCTGATTTATGAAACATGCGGCGGCCTCTTAACGTTCCTCTGCACTCATGATAAATCCCACCCGTGCATACCAGGTGCTCTTGTCCGTTCACCGTCATTTACATACAGAAACGCCCTCAATTAACCATATTTGGTCATGCTACTTCCTCAGCATGTGAGGGGATTCCCTGCGTTCTACCCGGAAGAAAAGAATATGCCGAAGCGCAAAAGAGCCAAACAATTTAGGTTACATGATCGAGACAGAGGTAAGGTTCCTAATAGGATAAATCGTAGAATAAAAGGTTGTCGTTTACATTTAAGGAGTCGTTCTTAATGGTGTTTGTTTTATTTGGAAATGTCCAAGTGCAGCCTCTTAGCTGTCATTCAGTCTGGGTACCTTGACAACGCATGTGTGATCAGGGAGCAGAGGAGGTTCTGGGTGTTCTCGTAGTTTTAAAATAGAATATGAACTGGAATCGGATTTGTGAGGTTAATATGTTGCTCCACAGTGGTTCCCAAATCACAGCATAGCTCCAGACGGATCTCCTGTCAAATGCGTTTACTCCAGAGCATGCTCTGACAAATCCTTAATTATAATAATAATAAACAATCTTTCATATACGCATCTCAAGCAAAATCACGAAGTGTTTCACAAGGACGAAATATAATATATTAAAATTAAATTAAAAATAATATTAATTAATTAAAAAGAACATAATACAAATAGGAAGAGAAAAAAATGCGATTACAGAAACACGACAACCACTCTACAATGTCAGATTCCCGTCGAGTGTTGTCGCACCAGTTATGTTACTCAGCTGTTTTTCCACTGAAATAATTATTTAATGGCTAAAATAATTAGTGGATGAGGAACGTGTGGATGACTGAGACCTTCGGTGTTGCGGTTCCCCCGTTCTACCACTAGATGCTGTTCCTACACTTGGGTTGGGCCCAATTCCAATACTCGCCCTTGCGCCCTTCAATTGCGCGTTCCCAGCCAGGGGTGCGAGTGCATAGGGTGTCCTGATTCTCAAGTGTGGAAGTTGACCACGCCCCCATTGCACCCTTAATCTGCACTTCACCCAAGTCCGCAGCGATGCGGACCTCGGCCAAGGGGATTACCCACAAGTCGTTGCTGCAGAAGAAAAGGCTCAAGTTCCTTTTCTGAAAATATGTATTTTCTAATTAAATTATTTCATTGAAGGACGATTAGGTGATGCTCTAAAACTTCTAAATTTATTTCAAATAACTTTAAAAGTTCTTAATAGAGGTTTTTGAAAAAAGCATCACAGCGAGCAGCATCCCGGCATGCGTTGTGATCGATGACGCAATGCTCCCTGTCACAATTCTGCAGTTATTTGCTCACTTGTGCACTACGCACTCGAAGCACACCGCACACTTTCTCCAAGTGCACTTTGCTGAAGTCTGCAGGGTGCAGTGCGAGTATCGAGAATGGGCCATAGTCTGAAGTTTTCTTACGTTTAGGAAGGTACACGCACAGGTACAAAATGACGAATACCACACAATGCGTAAATGAGTTCCTACTGGTTCCTACCGATGGTTCCTACGCACGATATACGCACATATGAGGAAGAAAAGTATAGAGGCCATGTTGATGGCCCTTTTAAAGTGCTTAAAACAACCGTTAGCTGCTGTCTGGGCTTCGATGTAGGTCAGAAAACTGGGGCTGCTGTGAATAATTCAGACACAGCTGCAGAAATGTGGGGTTGGAGAAGGGTTGGCTGGTTATGCTTCAGGAAAGCCAGACTTTACCAGCCAGTTTTTAATGGAAGACAAATATAATTATCTTTTTGTCCATTTTAGCTAAAAGGTTTACGTCATTTTATACTCTTCTTATAGATTTTAGTTACATTTTATACAATTATTGAAGGCATTTAAATGAGAAAATAGGCTTGAGGAAATGCTTTTTGCATATATTAATTATAATGGGGCAGAGGACGGTGTTGGTAAAAATCAAAATTGCTGCCTCTGTTAGCCTCTTTGAGCAGATTTTAGTCATATTAAAATACTTTTTGTGACTTTCTTTGGTTTCCGTCAGGAGGATGGAAAAGCAGAAGGAAACATGGCACAGAAGAGGGCTGCTCTGCTGGAGAAAAGGATGAGAAGAGAAAAAGAGAATCAGCTGAGGAAGAGTCAGCTGGAGGCAGGGATGGAGCAGAAGAAAGAGGAAGCTCGGTATGCAGATTTTTTTTATATTGTAATATAAAAGTCCTTAAAGAAAATTTTTGTTCTATGTATTTTTATTGCATTTTATTTAACCCTCCCACTGTCTTTATGGGTGACCCCGCGAGGAAAGGTGACCATTGAGCAGGATTGATGTTTATCCCTTGAGGTCCACGAGGCAGGGGTGAGGTGGTGCTCACTCCTCACCCCTGCCTCGTGGACCTCAAGGGATAAACATCAATCCTGCTCAATGGTCACCTTTCCTCGCGGGGTCACCCATTAGGACATTAGGAGGGTTAAAAGGCATCTTTAAGACCTGCCATTGAATATGTTCCCCAGAACTTAGATTTACATTTATACATGCTGTGGTGCCATTTTTGGAGTAATTGAATCTGCTGTACATTAATACAACCCTTACATTCTAAATTTTAATTATATAAATGTGAAATGTTCATAGCTACTAAATATTTTACCAAAAAACTGCAATTATCCATACAGAAATAGAAAATCGTATTTTGTTTTTACACATATTTTTCATTATACAGAAATGCCACAGCTTTATCCCTCAAAATTATAAATGAAAAAAGTTGCACACAATTGTTTCAAACAACAACAAATTTATTTGAAGTGCTTTCATAAATTAGTTTCTGAGATACACTCATTTATATGAACTGTAACAAAAACATAAATAATAATAATCTGCAGGAGTCTAATATAATAATGTTGAATATTTATCGCTAATTTTTCAGTAGTATAAAGCTTTCCATTTCTCTCACTAATAATAACAATAATAAAGAATATTGCATGAATATATACACAAGGAAACTGAAACTCCCATCATCGCCCGGCGCTGTAATGGCGTCAACCGCTTCGAGGAGGAGGATGTACCGTTTGGCGGGTCCGCGGTTCATCAAAACGTTCGTAGTGGTGGTGTGTGTGTGTGTGTGTGTCGGGAGTTAGTAGTGGGTGTGTGATGCGTTTGTCTAAATGTATTATTGCAAAGAAGAACAAGAAAAAGCCAAAAGACTGGGACTACAAAGAACTACAGTTCGCAGGAAAATCACGTCGATGCAGGTGATTGGGTGAGTGATAATCATGTAGCAGTTCACGCTGACAACAAGATGAAGTGTATTCTAGCGTGTGAAGCCCTGTGAGCTGCAGATCAGAATGATACCGCGTCTGTGTCTGAATGAAAACGCTTTTCTTATTTGCGCATGTTGGTTGTTTTTTGCCAACTCGGAAATACGCAGCGCTCTGGGACATGTTCAGTGTGTGAGATATACGTGCAACTCCTCCGGTTTAATATGCAAAACCAACTTTGTTCTATCCTGTATAGCTTCGGTTCTACAAGTATTTGAACACAGATATGCAAATGAGAGCGCCGGGTTAACATCCTCACACTTTTACCTCTGAGATGACCTTGAGATTCAGTCATTATTCAAACACATTTGTTTTATAATAAATTGTGTGAATCCCTACTTTACCTCAAAATCCATCAGCTAAAGCCCAATTCTTCTTCTTCTTCTTGCTATCGTGATTTTGTCTCATCATGTGTTCAGACTGAAAGCAGAGGAGGAGCGAATCAGGAAGGAGGAGGACAAGGCCAGGAAGGAGTTCATCAAGCAGGAGTACCTCAGGAGGAAGCAGCTAAAGCTGATGGAGGACATGGACACCATCATCAAACCAAGATCAGCTGGTGGGGCCAAGCAGAGGCGAGGCCGACCCAAGTCCATCCACCGTGACAGCATAGACTCCCCAAAGACCCCTGTCCGAGCTGCCACAGGTAACCATGGAGACAGAGGTCACTGCCATCCCATCTGTTAAATCACTGTCCTGTGTCTGCTCTGCCGTGTACAGAAGAGGATTAGGGCCACTGAAAAGAAAAAGAACACTGACTTTATTCCCAGATTTGTGACTTTTTCTCAGAATTCTGATTTTTATCTAATTATTCAAACGTTAATATCAGAATTCTCATTTATTTCACAGAATTCTGACTTTAATCCCACAATTCTGACCTTTTTGTCAGAATGCTGATGTTTTTTTTTCAGAATCTAAAAGTCAGAATTCTGGGATTAAAGTTAGAATGCTGGGACTAAAGACAGAATTCTAAAATTAAAGTCAAACCTCGGTGGAAAAAAAGTCAGAATTCTGGGATTATAGACAGAATTCTAAGATTAAAGTCAAACCTCTTTGGAAAAAAGTCATAATTCTGATATTAAAGGCAGATTTCTAAAATTAAAGTCAGAACTCTGTGGACAAAAATCTGAATCATGGGATTAAAGTCATAATTCTGGGATTATTGACAGAATTCTAAGATTAAAGTCAGAATTCTGAAATTAAAGTTAAATTCTGATATTAAAGACAGATTTCTAAGATTAAAGTCAGAACTCTGGGACTAAAGTTAGAATTTTGGGATTAAAGATTATTGATTTATTATTTTTCATTTCTTTTTTTCAGTGGCCCTAATCCTTTTTCTTAGCTTTGGGTTGTCAAAAATACCATTTAGTTCATTTTGATTATATGTATAGAAAAATGTGAAGTGACTGCAGTTTCGGTATCAGGAGTTGTCATGTGTGTGTGACTGTATCCACATCACTGGCTTTGCCTCACTCCCATAGTTCCCATTCGTGGTAGTGTAACCGTGTCGTGCCACGTTTGTCGTCTCACATCCAGGTTCACGACAGCGTGTCTTTTCAGTCTCCAGCTTGTCCCTCGCCTCCCTCAACCTGGGTGACAGCGACAGCGTTCATTCTGAAAAGAGGGCGCCGAGGTGAGAGGCTTTTATTCATCTACGAGTAAAGCTGAAACATGCAAGATACAAACAGCTGGATATTTTTTATTTTTAGGATGTATTCATATTCTTTTTTATTTTATTTTTTTGACTGTTTTACTGTAAAATAAATCTGTAAAGTACAAAACAGCCTGCTGGCTTGATACCCTGCTTATGCTGTGAGTAATTAGTATTTAAACCTGGATCATCTGCTCTCAGAATTAGAGGGGCTTAGCCAATGAGCATGAGCGTTAACTACTTGTATAATTAATAGACCATATGCGCTAACATCATGGGTCTTAAATGAGTGGTAAGGAGCAGCTGATAACAGTGACTTTATGGAAATCTACCCTTCAGATCTAACATGTTCTTCAATTTCCCTCTTTCATTCCAATCTTTCTGCCATTTGATGTCAGGAGTTCTAGTTTAGCTTCTAGCACTCTCTTCTACTTTCTGAGCGCTCCTAAACTGAGAAGGAGGTTAGTTTTTTGTTTGTTTGTTTTCTAGTGAATACACTTGGAGGCTTCTCCTGCTGCCCAGAGACCAATCCTGCACTGAAACCCTTTTCCCACCACGGGTTTTCTTACAAATTGATAAACCATTTCTGGCAAAGGAGACATATTTTCCTTTACCCTGTGCAAGGTCTTATTCTTGATCTTTGATAATCAAGGTTCTCTGATAACTTGGTGTTTCATCTTAGAGCATCTCACAGCCTCCAGGTCACATGGCTTCAGAAGATTTAGGAAACTGTCCCAGAATTTGGCTCTTTGGGGGAAAAAATGAAGCATATATAAGCTGTGAAGCAGTGGCGGATCAATGATTGTTCTGAGTGTTGGGCCATCAAGGGGCCACAGTATTTATTTGTGATTAAGATTCCACTCAGGAAATTACTGTTTGGCCCATTAGCACCTCTAGTGTTTGGACTTGGAATTACATCAACCTATAATCTGATCATCCAAAGGACATAAGTGAAAAGATGGGGGCCTATGCCCCTGAGGCCCCACCCCTAGAACTGCCAATGCTGTGCAGAGATTATAGGTGAGATACTAAGTGATAAGTTTTAATGGAGAACCACTTTTTTCACCTTCTGCTTCCCTGCTTTTTATTTCACAACTCAATGAAATAAAACAACTGTTTAGTTTAGAAAGTCACTCGTCATGAGACGACATGTTATCAAGTCATTGCTCTGTTGTAGTTCAATATACAACACCTTAAAACAGCTGTCATTACAGTCTACAGAAGTCACACAACTGAAAGAATGACTTGTTAATGTGGGTTTTACATTCACTAAAGCACTGCTAATTAAGCTGAATGTGGCTTTAGTTGCTCTTATTTGTCTCCTTTCTTATTGGATTCGGCATTATTACATGAGTGGATCAGGAGAGGAAATGCTCTCCATGTCTCCATTTAAAAGAGCAAATAAAAGCCAAACGCTGCTCTATGCCTAACCAACCCTTTTCCCATCCTTGAACACACACACACTGCACCCCCCGCTTGCAGGCTTTGCTGCTTCACTGGTTTCTGTAAAAAAAAAAAAAAAAAGACACTTCAGTCTGCTTTTGATGACCAAACAGAGTATTACCTTGTTGTTACAGAGTGGTCGGGCTCTACACACGCGAAAGAGAGGTGTGCTAATATCGTTTTGTGTGTTTTAGGACGGATTCTGCAAATGGCTTCCTGTCTCCAAGTCACTCCAGCAGCAGGAATGGGGAAAAGGACTGGGAAAACGGCTCCACCACCTCGTCTGTTACCTCCAACACCGAGTACACTGGTGGGTCAGGCTAACATTTTCATCCTTCATGTTCCTTTGACAAAAGCACAGAAATCTTCATACATGATTTATCAAAAGAGAATAAAAATAGGGAGGCAGGTCTGTTCTGTGATTGCTACAGCAACGGTCTCCTCCTAATATTTTCTCTTTCTTTTGTCTTTCTTTAGGACCGAAGCTGTACAAGGAGCCCAGTGCAAAATCCAACAAACACATCATCCAGAATGCTCTTTCCCACTGCTGCCTCGCAGGCAAGGTCAATGAGGGGCAAAAGAACAAGATCCTGGAGGTAAATAACTAACTAACTAAAACTTTATTTATATAGCGCCTTCACATGGCCCAAGGACCAAACAAAGCGCTGCACAGCAGAAATAAGCATAAAAAAGTAAATAAATAAATAAAAACATATAAAACCATTTAAAACCAGCAAAAACATGCAGATAAAATCTAGGTGGGGCAGCAAAAAGTGCCAAGCCAACAGTTAACGGGACTCTTCCTGAATAAAAGCTAAAGAATAAAAGTGTGTTTTCAGCTGGCTCTTAAACTTGCCGACCGTGCTGGCCTGTTTAACCCATGCAGGTAGCTCATTCCAGAGCCTCGGCCCCAGCACCGAGAAAGCACGACCCCCTCGGGATTGTAGTCTGTGTTTCGGAATGACTAACAGTCCTTGTTGAGCTGACCGAAGGTTCCTTGCGGGAACATAAGGCTGAATCAGGTCTGCCAGATAACATGGAGCCAACTCATTTAAACATTTAAAAACAAACACCAGAACTTTAAACGAAATTCTAAAAGAGACTGGAAGCCAGTGTAGGGATGCCAAGACGGGCGTGATGTGTTCAGATCTCCTGGTACCAGTCAGTGACCTGGCTGCCGCATTTTGGACCTTCTGCAGTTTCGCTATGGAGGCCTGCTTGATGCCTGCATAAAGCGAGTTACAGTAGTCCGGTCTGGTGGTAATGAAGGCGTGGATGACAGTTTCCAGATGTTTGCGTGAAAGAAACGGCTTAATCCTAGCTATTCTCCTGAGATGAAAGTAGCAGGATCTGATTGTTCCATTGACCTGGCTGTCCAGTGTGAGCTCTACATCCAACTTCACCCCCAGGTTGGTGACCACAGCCTTCTCAAAAGGCGCTAATGAAGGAGAGTCAATCCCTTGGGCACATCCATGTTTGTATTTCGGGAAGAACAGGATCGTCTCAGTTTTATTCTGGTTGAAGAACAATACATTTTGAGCCATCCATAACTTGACCTCCTCCAAGCAGTCCAAGAGCGGTTTAAAAGAACTTGAGTTATTGCATGATACAGGTAAATAGAATTGACAGTCATCCGCATACAGGTGAAACCTGACATTGTGCTGACGAAACAAGTCACCCAGCGGCAGCAGATAGAGGGAAAAGAGGAGAGGTGTCAGGACTGATCCCTGAGGCACTCCACACTGCAAATCAGCAGTATCAGACGAACAGTCCCCCAGTCTTACACAAAAATTCCTCCCTGACAGGAAAGATTTTATCCACTGGAGTGCTAAGCCTGATATTCCCACCCAGTGCTCCAGTCGACCAATCAGGATATTGTGGTCTATGGTGTCAAGTCCAAGAGCACCAAAACCACAGCCTCCCCAGAATCGTTTGCCATCATTATATCATTCAAAACCATCAACGGGGCTGATTCTGTACTATGGAGATACTTAAACCCAGACTGAAAAATCTCCAGGATCTCATTTTCCTGTAGAAAAGATATCATTTGGGCATACACAAGCTTTTCTAAGACCTTAGCTAAGAACGGCAGTGTGGAAACAGGCCTATAGTTAAGATATAATCGCCGAATCTAGGCCAGCTTTCTTCAGCATGGGGCGCGCTACTGCATGTTTAAAAGAGCTGGGAACTTCACCTGATAGTAGACTGCTCTTTATAATTTCTAAAACATAAGGAGACACAGCTGGAAAAACTTCTTTCAGAAGTTTAGCAGGGATTGCGTCCAATACAGAACCAGATGGTTTCAGACTGTTGACCACCTTCTCCAACTCTATGGGAGATGTTGGATAAAAGCTCTCCGGGAGCCCTGGGCAGGACCCCGCAGAGGAGGATGGTAATTGGAGGGTGTGATCGAAGCCTTCGTCCTCCCCACTTTGTCCACAAAGAAGTTGAGGAAATGATTGCAGGATTCTGTAGTGTACTCAATAGCCAGTGGTTCATTTGCATTTAAAATAGAATCTAACGTGCTAAAAAGAACCCGAGGATTCTGTGAGTTGGAGGAAATAATGTCAGCAAAGAACTTAATTCTCGCCTCTTTCACCGCTTTCTGGTAGGCTACCCAGCTATCTCTCAGTAGGACAAGGGAGATCTGAAGCCCATCCCACTTCCACCTACGCTCTGCCTTCCTACATTTCCTTTTTAAGTCCTGTGTTGTCATATTTAGCCATGGCTCCTTTTTACGTTAATGTTTCTTAGCCTGCACAGGTGCTACAATGTCTAAGACCTTCGAGCATGTCGCGTTAAAATGTGCAGTAAGCTCCTCAGTGCTACTAGGCCCAGCAGTTTGCCACCAACCCCAAACACCGAACAAACTCAGTGGCCATAGAGGACTTTAATACCCGGCAGAGTTTCACAGGAGGACACTGCATCACAGGCTGACAGGGGAAAGGCACATTAAATAAAACAGGTCTATGGTCCGAGAAAAAGGCCTCCCCAACCTGCAGATTGGAAGCAGATACCCCAAAAGACAACACAAGGTCCAGGATATGCCCACATACCTGTGTAGGTTGGTCAACTAACTGAGACAGATTAAAAGAGTCAACAAGATTTAAAAAATCCTTCACCAAAGGCTTATCAGGACAGCAAACATAAAACAATAAAGACATGGCAACTTAAATTAGGGGTGGTAATGTTCCAAAATCCTTGTCCCATCACAAAGGGGAAGGACCAGGCTGTCATGTTCTGCATCCTGCGTCCCCCTCATGTGTCTCCTGGTTTTCTCCTGCCTTCTCTAGGTTCCCCTTTATACAGGTGCTGGCCAGTAAATTAGAATATCATCAAAAGGTTGAAAATATTTCAGTAATTCCATTCAAAACGTGAAACTTGTACATTATATTCATGCAATGCACACAGACCAATGTATTTCCAATGTTCATTACATTTAAATTTGATATTCATAAGTGACAACTAATGAAAACTCCAAATTTGGTATCTCAAAAAATTAGAATATTCTGAAAAGGCTGAATATAGAAGACACCTGCTGCCACTCTAATCAGCTGATTTACTCAAAACACCTGCAAAGGCCTTTAAAAGGTCCCTCAGTCTTGTTTTGAAGGCCCCACAATCATGGGGAAGACTTCTGACTTAACAGCTGTCCAAAAGACAATCATTGACACCTTGCACAAGGAGGGCAAGACACAAAAGGTGATTGCTAAAGAAGCTGGCTGTTCGCAGAGCTCTGTGTCCAAGCACATTAACAGACAGGCGAAGGGACGGAAAAAATGTGGTAGAAAAAAGTGTACAAGCTCTAGGGATAACCGCACCCTGCAGAGAATTGTGACGACAAACCCATTCAAAAATGTGGGGGAGATCCACAAAGAGTGGACTGCAGCTGGAGTCAGCGCTTCAAGAACCACCACGAGGAGACTCATGAAAGACATGGGATTCAGGTGTCGCATTCCGTGTGTCAAGCCACTCTTGAACAAGAAACAGCGCAAGAAGCGTCTCGCCTGGGCCAAGGACAAAAAGGACTGGACTGATGCTGAGTGGTCCAAAGTTATGTTTTCTGATGAAAGCAAGTTCTGCATTTCCTTTGGAAATCAAGGACCCAGAGTCTGGAGGAAGAGCGGAGAAGCACAGAATCCACATTGCATGAGGTCCAGTGTAAAGTTTCCACCGTCAGTGATGGTGTGGGGTGCCATGTCATCTGCCGGTGTTGGCCCACTCTGTTTCCTGAGGTCCAGGGTCAATGCAGCCGTCTACCAGGAAGTTTTAGAGCACTTCATGCTTCCTGCTGCTGACCAACGTTATGGGGATGCAGACTTCACCTTTCAACAGGACTTGGCACCTGCACACAGTGCCAAAACCACCAGCACCTGGTTCAAGGACCATGGTATCCCTGTCCTTGATTGGCCAGCAAACTCGCCTGACCTTAACCCCATAGAAAATCTATGGGGTATTGTGAAGCGGAGGATGCAATACGCTAGACCCAACAATGCAGAGGAGCTGAAGACGACTATCAGAGCAACCTGGGCTCTCATAACACCTGAGCAGTGCCACAGACTGATCGAGTCCATGCCACGCCGCATTACTGCAGTTATTGAGGCAAAAGGAGCCCCGACTAAGTATTGAGTGCTATACATGCACATTCTTTTCATGTTCATTCTTTTCAGTTGGCCAACATTAGAGAAACAAACATTTTTTCATTGGCCTTTAGAATATTCTAATTTTCTGAGATACCAGATTTGATGTTTTCATTGGTTGTCACCTATAAATATCGAAATTAAACGTAATAAACATCGGAAATACATTGGTCTGTGTGCATTGCATGAATATAATGTACAAGTTTCACGTTTTGAATGGAATTACTGAAATATTTTCAACCTTTTGATGATATTCTAATTTACTGGCCAGCACCTGTATGTCTCCTTGGGTTCCTCATGTGTCTCCTTGTCTCCCCCCACCCCCCCAGGTGCCTCCTTGTGTTCCCCAGCCCACTCCAGATATTTTCCCTTAGGTGTTCCCCTTAGGTATGTGTGCCCCTTAGGTCTTCCTCTCCCTCCAGGTTTCCCTCAGGTTCCCCCTTTGTGATTTCAGATTTAGTTATCCCATCCTTGTTAGTGTTTTTCTTCTGATGACTAGTTTTCAGGTTTATTAGTTCACTTATCTTTAGTTCTCTGTAGATTAATTTTACCTAGTCAGTTTCCCCACTCAGTTAATTAGTCTCACCTGACCCCTTCTGATCTCATCTCACTCTCCACACACCTGTCACCTGTTTCCCTGATTGTTTCCCTCCATGTTCCCTCTGTGTATATAACCCTGTCTGCGTCTTAATGTGTTGTTGGCTCATTTTTTGTGTCAGCGTTGTCCCGTTTCCCTCTCTTGGTCTCTAGGTTATTTGAATGTCTCTAGGTTTTGCTCTTTAAAGGAGCTTTCGTCTCTTGGTTTCTAGGGTTTTTGTTTGCACATTAGGATTTTTGAATTTTTGGTTCTGCCCCTTTTGAATTTTACTTTTGGACTATTATTCCCAATAAAGGATTTTACGTTTTCTACAACTCCTGCCTTGTGTCTTCCTGGTTCTGCATCTTGGGTCCTAACCTCCTCCTGGCTTACATCGTGACACAGGCAAAACTCCTTCAACAAACGTTGTTTCTTTGATCTCAACAGGAAATGGAAAAATCAGGGGCCAACAACTTCTTAGTTCTGTTCCGGGATTCCGGCTGCCAGTTCCGATCTCTCTACACGTACTGCCCCGAGATGGAGGAGATCAACAGGCTGGCGGGCATCGGCCCCAAGAGCATCACTCGCAAGATGATCGACGGACTCTACAAGTACAACTCGGACAAGAAGCAGTTCAGTCAGATACCCGCTAAAACCATGTCGGCGAGCGTGGACGCTGTCACCATCCACAACCACCTCTGGCAAACCAAGAAGCCAGCCACCCCTAAAAAAGTTGTGCCTGCGCATTCGTAATGGAGCTCCGTAACCCTCACCATCTCCATCTCAGTTTGCACTTCACTGTACATACCCATGAAGATTCCAACACCTGCAATGCCAGTTCAGTGAATGCATAGATGTGTTTTTATCCTGTCACAGCATTCCTGTCCTTGTTTATCCAGAACACTAACGACTGGAGGTGACGGGGGAAACCATGCCGATCAACTGGAATGTAAAATGATGTAATCGTGTGTTTTTAGAGATCGACATGTTGTAGTCTGTTCATATGTGAGTGCCGTCTTTGTTCTTTTAAGGTGCCAAACGTCAAAAACAAGACAGTATGAATGCTAGGACTTTCAACACGGTACACTGAATGTTTTCAGCTCGTGTGCAGATTGAGTTTCGTTTGTGTTTCCCTGTTGGTGTCTGGCCTTATGCACATTTTATTTTTCTGTGTGGGTGTAAAGCAGAGGATTTTTTTGTAACGGTTTGTTTATTAGGAAACAGAACTCCAAAGGGCCAAAAGGCTAATTGCATACAGCTAGCATTAGCCACATGATTTGTGTGTGCTCAGCTCAACAAAGCCAAGCGGTTTCAGCTTTTATCAGAACCCCGTCTGAAGATCACTGCAGATTACTGGATCTCCACCTGCAGAGGAGTCGCAATAGGATGATCGATGTGGAGTGACTTTTTAATGTGCAAGCATTCTGGGGATTTATAGTTCTTGTAATAAATGTCTCGCTGTCTGTTGCATTTAGGTCTGATCATCGTTCGTTAGAGGGAGGATTTAACCCGCGGGTTCATTTGGACTAAATCAGCCAAAAGGGTTAAGGTTCAGTGTTTTAGCAGCTGTTTCACAGCAGCACCTCAGTATTAGTATACCGATTGATCATGCTACTTGCAGCATGTAGTAAATAAAGATGATGAACAATCACCTGCGGGTATGAGTGGAGTTAAAGGAATATTTCTTTTACATAATTACTGAATTCAATTCCACAAGATTTAAATGTAGTAGTAGGATGCATCCTGAAGGCATCAGATTGTAGTTTGCTTAGACGAACTAGATTTCAGTTTTAGTTCAATCTTTTAGGAATTTAAAGTTGTCATCAGAATCCACCAGGAAGAATTTTGTTTTAATGTAGGTGTGTGTGTGTTTCAGCAGCACCTTTCAGCTTTTCCTAACTATGTCAGTTTCCTGCTGGTGCTGCTGGAGATTGTCTTTGGTAAAAATTCTTGTAATAATTCAAAGCAGAATAAGTGATGTGGATCCTCACTGCTGCATACGGGTAGAGACTCGCCGTCGGGTTTCATTGGTGTAAGTAATCGTGCCAATTCTGCTACAGAATGTAGTTATTGTTTTATTGGGGGGGTATTTATGATCTACAATGAGAATGTTTTTGAAGATCCGATCTCAGAGAGAAAGCTCTGTCCACCGTTTGGTTCAGGCCAAATTAAAAACTAATTTAAAGTGTAATGAGTCTGTATGTTACGTTGGTGAGCTTTCTGTTCACTATGGTTCCTTTGTTTTTGTCCAGTGCTATGCTGTCATTCAACATACTGCAGGTATGCCATTTTATTTTTGGATTCTTTTGTTTTTGCATTTAATAAATTGAAGCATGGCCTCAGTGCGTATGTGGTAGTCATCTACATTTATTTTAAACACAATGGTGTCAGTTGTAACATAACTGGGGTGAGATGTAACACAATAAGGGTACTGACAAAATCTTAATCTATGTTTACATTCAACACCTGTTGTGCATGCAGAGGAGTTCAAATGAAGGCATCTGGACTTCTTTGGTTTCTTGAAGACATTTTGCTTCTCATCCGAGGAGCTTTGTCAGTTCTGACAGGAATACGGGAGGGTCAAGCTTATAAACTGTAGGCGTCTATTGTTGCTGTCTTGCACCTGTTGTGCACTCATACCAGTTTGTGGGATTGGATTTTCCTCGATTGTGTTAGCTTTGTCTTTGGGAAGGTTGTTTTCTGTTTCTTGTTTCAGCTCCTATTCTGGTCTGCTTCAGAGACCTTCCTGGCTTGTTTATGCTAAAATGACCTGCATATAGCACCTTTCTGAGCCATAGGACTTCAAAGTGCGCACATAAATAGGGACACTTGTTTGTTTATTTGCCTGTTGATTTGTCATCGAGATGAGAAACCCACTAGATTGTCTATATTCCTTTTTGTTCAAGCATTTAGACGTTTTTCTGGTATTTAACTCATAATCGTTGCCTTTCGAAGAAGACCTCCATATTGGTTTTCCATTAATTAATGCGATTGCCGCTTACGTGTAAACCGGCGTAACATTTATTTACATATTTACGTAGAACAAGGGTGGTAACTTTACACACCTCAAACATGTGCACCTGCGTGGAAATGTTGTGGAACAGTTATGAGACATGATGATGCCGCGTTTCATCAGCGCAGTTCCGGAGCGCAGGAACACTTTTGGATTGTCATCAAGAAAGTAAGTATGACCGATTCAGTTATTGCTCTTTGTTCACTCTGTGCGGAAAGGTTGATGGCTTGTTGATCAGATCTGTGCTCATTACAGTGGTCCTCGATCACGTGAGTTACGTTATAAAAATAACCCGTTGTAGAGAAAAAGCTTCATCTAAACCTTCTACTTGCATTTTAGATCTTATCTCAACCAAATTATTTAAAGATGCATTTCATTTGGTTACTGCCCCCATTCTACATATAATCAATATATCATTGGTAAATGGATATGTACCACATGATTTTAAGGTTGCTGTAATCAAACTTTTACTTAAGAAGCCTCCTCTGGATCCAGATGACCCAATCACTTATAGACCAATATCTAACCTTCGATGTTTATCCAAAGTCCTGGAGAAAATAGTGGCCATCCAAGTATGTGAACATTTAAACACAAATGATCTGTTTGAGGAATTTCTGTCTGGTTTTAGAGAGTATCACAGCACTGAAACTGCATTAGTGAAAGTTACAAATGATATTCTCATAGCCTCAGATAAGAATCTTGTGTCTGCTCTAGTCTTGTTAGATCTCAGTGCTGCCTTTGACACAGTAGATCACAATGTTCTTTTAGAAAGACTTGAACATGTTGTAGGGATCAAAGGAACAGCGCTAGGCTGGTTTAAATCCTACCTGTCTGATAGAATTCATTTAGTAAATGTACGTGACAAATCATCTTCATACTCCAAGGTTACTTGTGGAGTATCACAGGGTTCAATGCTTGGACCAATCGTTTTTACTATGTATATGCTTCAATTGGTAAAATCATTAGACAGCATGGGATAAACTTCCACTGTTATGCTGACGATACTCAGTTATCCATTAGCCCTGATTAACCTAATTGGTTAGTTAGATTAAAGGCTTGTCTAGAAGACATAAAATATTGGATGACTCAAAACTTTTTGCTTTTAAATCAAGACAAGACTGAAGTTCTCATCTTTGGACCTGAAATTCAGAAAAGGAAATTGCTTAGTCAATCACCTGACCTGAATGGCATTACATTAATCTCCGAGAACAAAGTAAGGAACCTTGATGTTATCTTTGACCAGGACATGTCATTCAAATCCCAAGTTAAACAGGTTTGTAGGATTTCCTTTTTCCACCTTCGGAAAATTGCTAAGATTAGAAGTATCCTTCCAGGAGTGATGCTGAAAAACTAGTTCATGCATTTATTACATCAAGACTGGATTACTGTAATTCATTACTCTCAAGAAGTCCACAGAATGTAGTTAAAAGTCTTCAGCTTGTCCAAAATGCTGCAGCTAGAGTTCTGATGAGAATTAAAAAGAGAGATCATATCTCTCCTGTCTTAGCTTCCCTACATTGGCTACCTGTTAAATTCAGAACAGATTTTAAGATCCTTCTTCTCACATATAAAGCATGGCCTGATGGAGGGGGCCTTCAGCTTGCAAACTTCTGCTAACAACTTAAACATTCTCCCTCTCCTCCTGATAATAACACATGGTTGGACAATGCGCGATTCAAACACCTAAAGATTAGATCTGCCAAAGTGATGGATACTGGGTTCTGCTCAGGGAGGTTGCTGTGGTCTTCTTTTCGAGAGGCTAGCCCCTTTTGCATCACTGTCTTGGTGGACACACATGGTCAGAACACACACAAACACACATGGTCAGAACATGCACACACACACACACATATGAGGTTCTGAATGTGCCAAAATAAATAATGTGGCTGAGCTGGTTGTTTTGATGTAACATTGTGGGGGTGCACACTCCTAACAAAGATCCTTTAACATGAGCAGAGCTCCACTCTGAGACGTTTGTTGACTCCCCTCTGGACATCTGAGGGTCGAGTTGATGTGTTTTGGACCAGAACAGCGACCCGTCCAGTCTGGTCAGCAACAACCTGCTGCTGTAGGTCTGGTTGGATGTGTTCGGAAAACCATCCGAGTAGAGGGACAGGTAGCTGGATAGGCTCCACTTTCTTTGGCTTTCCCTGTAAACATGGAGGGAGGATTAGGAGAGCTATATTTCTAAACTAGAGCATTCTAAAATAAAAATACTAGAGATGCATCAATAGCGGTATCGGCCGTAGTTGTTTTATATCGGTATCGGTCCGATAAGCAAAACTGGGCCAATTTTAACAACAGACATTTTTTTCTCCATATTTTATTGCTGCAACGTGATGGAAGTGGCTACTTTTACTGACTGATCAATAAGATGTGATATTCCATATAAATATGAATTAGCAACCTTATTGGTCTTTGAATGTTTGGTTTGCTAACTTTCATGCTTTGGAGCAGAAAAAGTGCATAAGAAACACAAAATTTCAAGCTGAGTTTTCTCCACTGTGATTTACTGTGATGCTCACCTGTTCCAGTCAGACACCTGCATCTGTAGGGTTTGGCTCTGAGCTGAGGTAGGAGTACGACTGACCTAAATGACGCTTGGGTTTGAATTGATAACCTATCCCCTGAGCCCATTAAAGAGGTGCTTCTATGGCCAGCTTAGAGAGCATCAAGTCCAACCATGTTGGTGTTGATTTGAAGGTGCCTTTAGAGTATTATCCGGTCATAATCAAGAAATTTTTGGGCCAACTTGTCTGACAGTACTCACCAGCCACCAAATGGTCTGGTCCCCTAATGAATTGTTTTTGTAATTGTTAATACATTTTATAAAGTCAATTCTGACATTGCAGTTCTACAATAGCGCTCTAATTTTATGGAGGAGTCTTCCTGCCAAAATAAATAAATAAAATGTGAGAAAAAATGAAAAATAAAACGAATCAATGGGGAAACAAATACATATTTGAGGAAATTAAACTGACCATGTCTAAATGTATTTGGATATTTTTTTATTTCAACTTTTATTTTATTTTAATATTTATTAATATTGTTTATACACACACACACACACACACACACACACACACACACACACACATATATATATATATATATATAGTGCTGTAGGTGTGACCACTGGGTGTCATCACGTCAGTGGATTGGTGGTTTACGTCTGCGTCCGTCCGCATGGCAACCGTGAGCTGTGTACATGGAATAACGCAGAGAGGAGCAGTTCCGGACATTTAACGCACACCGTTCCCACACCTGTCTGCATCTTCGGGAACGCCGTCGCGTATCCACTCCGCAGCGGGAGAGGAGAGGCTTTGGTGCGGCGTGTCGCTGACTGGCAGGTGAGGACGCTGGCACGGATCCAAGCTGCGGTGGGTCGGTCTGGCTCGGCGTCAACGACAAACGTTTGTCTGTCTTCAGTTGGGCCGAGTCAAGATCGTAGATGCTGTCGTGATAACAAGGTGCTGCCTGCCTGGGGAATGTCAGATGTGGGCCGCGGACGGACCGGTGGATGTGGGGAGGGACCGGACTGGGCCAGGCGGTGTCACCTCCGTCCCAGCTCCGCCAGCTTTTTACAAGCTCTCCAAGCAGAACCGCTACTCCTTCGTTTCGTTAAACCTGCGATTGTAAACTTTTAACCATTTATCGCCCAAAGCTAAATATGAAAATCCCTTTCTTGCTCAGTTGCACTCACTGATGAGGATTATTAATGTAACCATTGCAGATCAAGTTTAGAAGTGGTCTTTTTTACAGTTCATTAATTTTAACCTGGGTTTCAGTTGAAAGTTTATAAACCGAATTTTACCTGATAGAGATACCTTTTAAAACAGCCTCAGTTCGGAGAAACAGAGACTGTATCAGATTCAATAACAGGTTTGTTACTTCATATGCATATCAGAGCCGTGTCCAGGACTTTTAAAATGGGGTGGCCCATGTGGGGCACTTGTTTATGCATGAGTGGCACCAATGGTTATGCTTATTTATTTATTTACACAAATCGTTTCAATTCAAAAATACTTTATTAATCCCAGAGGGAAATTGATTGCTGTAGTAGCTCAGAATAATAATAATAATCAAGTCATTGACGTTTATTTATTTATTTACTTTCTAGTGAATTTTGGAGTTTCACATTACACAATCACCATTGTTTTCTATTCATCTTTGAGTTTTGTGGTGGTTAGCAAGTCACTTCTAGTTGCATTATTGCCACCAACTGGAGTTGAGTGGGACTCTAAATACTATTTTTGTGAATATGAAAAAAATAATAATATTAATACTACAGAAATGTTCTGTAGGCCTGGGCTAGAAGACAATGTTAAAGGTGCATGCTACCACACACTATTTTTGGAGTTTACAACTCAAGCCTTTTGTCAACAATGTAAAGTCAATTTAAACTGGAACTTAGTAGGGTGGCACCTGGGGTGGCCAATCAGATTCTAAGGGTGGCATGTGCTACCCCAGTCCACTTCCTGGACACGCCCCTGAGGCATATTGGCCCTTATTCATTTATGTCTGATCATGTGGGTCCGTCATGTTGGACGTCAAAGTTAAAGTATTTAACGAAGACCAAAATGTGACTCAGATGTTTTTTATGCCTGTCTATTGTTACTTCTGCTAATTGTAGCCCAGTTCACTAGAAGCAGCATCTCGGTGGGGCTCATCTGCTGCTTTTTTTAATTTTATTTTTATTTTTTCAAAAGTTAGCGTTAGCTAACTGAGAAATCGACCTTTACCTTCTTCCTGCTGCTGTGCTCACTGATTTGATCAAGTCTGTGACTTTGCCAGAATTCATCCCACACTGTTTATACCAATATGTGATAAACAACATTTCACTTTACATTAAAGCTGATTTAAAAAGCCTAAAAAAGTCCCGATCCCTACCACTTACTTGTCCCTGGCTGGGTCCCTGAGACCTGCCGCTTACTCTTAGTCTGGCAAGCCATCCTATATATGTGAATGTGGCTTTCCTAAACACTGTTCAGCACTTTGATTACTGTTTTTAAATGTGCTTCACAAATCAAGCTGATTGATATTGTCTGGCCACGAGTCCCACAGAGCTTAGTGGGGCAGAATCCACTGTTGTCTTTCAGACTGTCTCCACTTGCTACTGGACAACAAACAACGTGGTCTACTCACCGCTACAGATACCAGTCAACAGTACAGATCACTACATACCGTTGAAGACACAAATGCTACTTCTTCTACATAAATGACTTAAGTACCTCTATCTGCTCTCAAGATGCCAAAGCTATTTCCTTCGAGCTGTCGCCGCTGTCTTTGTATTTGTCGCTGTGACTGGCGTAACACAACACCGATCTGGCCAGTGGTGGACCTGCTGAGGCTCCTACGGATCGTGGCCAGAGCGACATGCAGGGCAAAATCATTTTGTTTCAGCTGCTGTCTGTCTAGCTTTCTAGTCCAGCTGACTCACACAGGACAAGAAATCTTATAACAGCAAAGCTCATCATGCTAATAAATCATGTCATTTTAACACACGTAGTCCTAAACTGGAACAGTGTTATCAGAATCTAGTAATTCACACACGTCCACCATAATGAATCATAAGATTATCAATACCAGATGATTAATATAAATATATCACATTTGCCATTTCAGCTCCATCACCATCTTACTCATGAAATATACGAGTGTCAGTCTTACCCAGAAAAACGGTTCGCTGCAGATCTGCAAATACTTTGAGGGCTGCTAGTCCGTTTGATTGTGAGCTGCTGTCCATTGTTATCTTCTGTCTCCATCAAACGTATACGATGAACAGCTTCATAGGAGTTTAGGGCATGCTTGTTGTTCTTTTGATGTCCATCTTGGCAAAAGAGGCGTTTCCATAAGCAGTGCGACATGCAAAGGGTCTATTACTGAAAGGCACCATTTACTACTACACATATCAGTGAGACACGAGCACACCTCATAATTGCACAATGATTCCTGAGAAGCCCTGCCAGCTAAGCACCTGTATTTGTTTTCCAGTGAGCTACCAGCTGCCGTCGTACATCTGCAGTCATGACAGCAGAGGAGACCATCAACATCAAGGAGGCGGAGGTGATGAAGGTGATCCTGGACTTCCTGAACTCCAGGAAGCTGCACATCAGCATGCTGGCTTTAGAGAAGGAGAGCGGCGTGATTAATGGCCTCTACTCTGATGACATGCTCTTTCTCAGGTATGACAGCACACCTGTGAGGACACGCTGGAGGTTAGTTTTTATGAGTGTGACGGAGCTGACTTGTCCCACTGTTAACTTTTACCAGGCAACTTATTCTGGATGGTCAGTGGGAGGAGGTGATGCAGTTTATACAGCCTCTAGAAGGAATGGACAAGTTTGACAAGAAACGGTACGATCCACCAAGTTTACACCGACATTAGAAGAAAATAACACTAGGAAACATCTTGAAGTGTGTCTATTATTTGTAGGTTTCGTTACATCATCCTGAAGCAGAAGTTCCTGGAAGCTTTGTGTGTAAACAACGCCATGTCAGCTGCTGAGGATCCTCATAATGTACGTAGAGAATGAATGAACGGAGTTTTGTAGTTGGGGTGGATCGCATCATCAGAATGTATCTTCCAACTACAGCTGGAGCTCAGCATGCAGGAGGCAGTCAAGTGCCTCCACTGTCTAGAGGAGTTCTGCCCAACCAAAGAAGACTACAGCACGTTGTGCCTCCTCCTCACCCTGCCGCGCCTCACCCACCACGCCGAGTTCAAGGACTGGAACCCGAGCACGGCGCGTGTGCACTGCTTCGAGGAGGCGTGTGCTATGGTGGCTGAGTTCATCCCTGCAGACAGGAAGCTGAGTGAGGCGGGCTTCAAGGCGAGTGGGAATCGCCTCTTCCAGCTGCTCATCAAAGGGATCCTCTACGAGTGCTGCGTCGAGTTCTGTCAGGTGTCAGGTTCTCCCTCTCTAAATCTGACAAGATAGTTGCAGTTTCTTGACACTTCTTTTAAATTTCTGATTCAGATTTTTCCTGAAATGGAGCTAAAAGTTTGCGGGACATGCCTGAAATCATGGCGGGTTTACCCGTATCTGTGTTTTTCAGAGCAAAGCCACGGGTGAGGAGATCAGAGAGGGCGAGGTGTTGCTCGGCGTGGATTTGCTCTGCGGGAACGGCTGTGACGAGCTGGATTTGTCGCTGCTCTCCTGGCTGCAGAACCTTTCCTCGAGCGCTTTCACCTGCGCCTTCGAGCAGAAGACCCTCAACATCCATGTGGACCGCCTGGTGAAGCCCAGCAAGGCCGGACACGCCGACCTCCTCACTCCACTGATCAACCGCCTGTCCCCGTGCCCTACCTCACCCTTTCACCAGAGACCTCATTCAGCCGATACCTACATGTCCAGATCCCTCAACCCAGCGCTGGACGGCCTGTCCTCCGGCCTGGCAGCGCAGGACAAGAGGGGCATGGAGACGAACACGACGTCGGCTCTCAGCCGCAGCCTCGTGGAGAATAATGCGCATCAGCAGGATGATTCACCTGAGAGGTAAGGCACAAAACTGGGCCAAACCTGTTTTGATTTTGTAGTTTGGAGCTCTGGTTCAGTGCTTCTTAGATATCATTTAAATTTTTTAAAATAAATTATATATTTTTCAATTTAAAATACAAAATCGTCTTTTGTTGTTCGTAAAACTTTTGGAATTGTTTCTTTTTTTTAAAAGAACATAAGATCTAAATCTTAAACACAATATTTTAATGGACAGATTAAGTTTACAGACAAATATTAGAACTTTTTTATTTTCATAATTAGTAGAACTGCAGATTCTGGTACTTAGGGCCAATACCGATTTCCAATTCATGCACAGTTCTGACCTGCCAACACAGATTTGAACCAATTCTGCTTTGTCTCAAAGAACCATCATCACTATTTTGCAAAGACTGGCCTAAATGATAAATGACCCGCACTTGTACAGAGCCTTTCAGAGTCAGAGGACTCCAAAGTGCTTTACACTACAGTGTTTCATTCATCCATTCACACACTGGTGGTGATGAGCTACATGGTAGCCACAGCTGCACTGACAGAGGCAAGGCTGCAGAGCACTGTCGCCAGCAGTCCCTTAGACCACCACCAGCAGGTAAGGAGGGTTAAGTGTCTTGCCCAAGGACACAACAGCAGCATTTTCTGCTGGGAGCTGGGATCAGTCCTACAACCCTCAGATTACTGGACAACCCGCTCTACCTGCTTGGGAGGATTTTTTTTTACTAAATCTTTAACCCAACTGGTCGATTCCTTTCTCCAGATGACCTTTTGGTGCAGCTCTAAAACTTAGTTCTTAAGTTATTGATGAACTGCAGTGGGTGGCAGCATTACATCATTTCACTAAATAAACAAACTGGAGTTCTGGCGCCACCTGCTGGATATACCTAATATAGTCATTCAGTTTCCACATCGCATCTGCTTTTCACGCTGCTGCATCCTTTTTTATACGTTTTATACTTTAAACCGTTGAAATAACATTTGGCCGCTGCCTGTCTCTTCTCCATGGCTTTTAACACCATAAGAGATGTTAATTGTAGCTGTTTGTTAGTATTGCTGTGTTGCTTTCACCCCCCCCCCCCCCAGCTGCTATATATAAATAAATTCCTTAATTTGATCGATAAAAGTATAAATAAAAATTTGACTATATTTTAAATGAAATGCTGTCACACATGCATATCATTTTTATCATGATAAATGACCCACACGTGTATAGCACCTTTCAGAGTCAGGGGACTCCAAAGTGCTTCACACTACAGTGTATCATTCATCCATTCACACACTGATGGTGATGAGCTACGATATAGCTACATCTGTCCTGTAGCACACTGACAGAGCGTCATGGTCAATGTACTTCCTCCGTGGTTCGTCAAGGTGTATTATTAATAAAGTTGGATTTGGATTCAGAAGATGTATTTTCCTGTGTTCAGGAAGCCTCCACAGGGGTTGGTGGATGGACCCGATGTCAAACGTACTCCTCTGACTCCTGGAAAAGATGGAGGACCACCCAGCAGCACAGAAACACAGGAGGTAACAAAAGAATTTCGGTGTCGTAGGTCAGGTTTTAGTCTTCAAAATCAAAAAGTAATGTTTCAAATCAATTCCATCCATCCATCTATCCATTTTCATCCACCTATCTGGTCTGAGCAGGGAGGCCCAGACTTCCCTCTCCCCATCACTTGGGCTAGCTCCTCCAGGGGAATCCTTAGGC